GGAGGGGTTGGTGAAAAAATAGGCATTTTTAAAGTCTACTGCCCAATAAGGAACATCTGTTCTCAGAGGCACATGTCCAAGAAACTGTGAAGCATGTTTGGTTTTTCTACTACAATTTAAAGAATGACCAACAAAGAAATCCCAAAGGCACCAAAAGCAAGAGCAGTAGGCTTTACAGGTCATTCTGCCCAATTGTGATGGAACAGGCAATTGGAATAGCACTTAAGAGCCTACAGTGTATGGTATAGAGCAGTTTTCATAGATTTCATAGACATTAGGGTTGGAAGGGACCTCGGAAGATCGAGTCCAGCCCCCAGCCCAAAGGGCAGGAAGTCAGCTGGGGTCATAGAATCCCAGAAAGATAAGCATCCAATTTGCTCTTGAAGGTATTCAGTGTAGGAGCTTGAACCACCTCTGATGGCAGGCTGTTCCAGACCTTAGGGGCTCGGACAGTAAAGAAATTCTTCCTTTATGTTTTTAACCATAAAGGCTCAGATGCAAAAAATTTCAGGAGCAAAAAGGAAAAAGATGCTTGGTCCAAACTTGATAAAGGAACTCTGGTATTACCCAAATTGTCAGGAACTGTAGTCAAATTTGGTTTAATGGAATTGGTTGCATATGTCTGTTTCTTTTTGTTTTTAAATGAAACTTCGTTTGGTAGTGGAGGCATGAAGTGTCTCATAAAGCCCTGTAGTACAGTTTGCTTCTGTTTACATTCCAACAGCCACAAAATTAGTGTGTGCATTCTTTTTTTAATATTTTTGAATTTGATAACAGTGTCAGCTGTTTTCATACTAATTATAGCTTAGGAAGCAAATACACTCAGTCACTTATGATGAAGTAATACAATATATTTAATTTACATTGAGGAAGTGTATTCTATCCCTTATAAGATGAAAAACAATCGAAACACTTTGCTGTGGAATGCTGTATCAAAGAGGTAGAGCCTACTGGTATACTTAACATAGTATGTTGACAGATGTCACCAGGGGCATGTCATGCCTGAACAACCTGTTAACCTTCTATGACAAGATGACTGGCTCTGTGGATGCTGGGAGACCACTGGATGTGGTGTACCTTGATTTCAGCAAGGCTTTTGATACAGTCTCCCACAACATTCTCCCAGGCAAGCTAAGGAAGTACGGGCTGAATGAACGGACTGCAAGGTAGACAGAAAACTGGCTGGAACGTCAGGCTCAGGGAGTAGTAATCAATGGCTTGATGTCTAGTTGACAGCTGCCATCAAGTAGAGTGCCCCAGGAGTTGGTCCTGGGATGAGTTTTGTTCAATGTCTTCATCAACCTGGAAGATACCAGAATGCACCCTCAGGAAGTCTGCAGATGACACCAAGCTATGGGAAGTAGTAGATATGCTGGAGGGTAGGACTAGGATTCAGAATGACCTAGAAAAATTGGAGGATTGGGCCAAAAGGAATCTCATGACATGAGGTTCAACAAAGGACAAGTGCAAAGTCCTGCATTTAGGATGAACAATCCCATGCAGGCTGGGGGCTGAGTGGGCAGCAGATCCACAGAAAAGGACCTAGGGGTTACAGTGGACAATAAACTGAATATGAGCCAGCAGTGTGCCCTTGCTGCTAAGAAGGCTAACAGCATACTGGGCTGCATTGGTAGGAGTGTTGCTAGTGGTCAGGGGAAGTAATTCTTCCCCTCTATTCAGCATTAGTGAGGCCAGATCTGGAGTACTGTGTTCAGTTTTGGGCACCCACTACAGAAAAGATGTGGGCAAGTTTGACAGAATCTAGCAGAGGTCAACAAAAATGGTGAGGGGGCTAGGGGACATGATTTATGAGGAAAGACTGAGGGAACTGGGCATATTTAATCTAGGAGACTAAGAGAGGATTTAATAGCAGCCTTCAGTTATCTGAGGGGGGGGCTCCAAAGAGGATGGAGCTAAACTGTTCTCAGTGGCAGATGACAGAACAAGGAGCAACAGTCTCATGTTGCAAGGGAAATTTAGGTTAGATATTAGGAAGAATGTTCTCATTAGGAGGGTAGTAAAACACTGGAACAGGTTACCCAAAGTGGTGGTGGAACCACCATCCTTGGTGGATTGCAAGACCCCGCTAAACAAAGCTTTGTCTGGGCTGATCTAGTAGGGGATGGTCCCACTTTGAGCAGGGGGTTGAGCTACATGACTTCCTCAGGTCCCTTCCAACCACCCTTTTTTTTTTTTATGATTCCATGTATTTCCTTGCTCTCACACAAATATTGGAGAATATTTTTTAAAACCTTCCCTGTTCTCAACTTAAGTTTTAAAATTAAATTCAATGTATGGTTAAGTGTTTTATGTTATATGGCTGTTTGCATTGAAAGCCACAGTTAAATTCAGAGACCTCACAATAGTATTTCAGGATTGTGTTATACTGAAGGATGGCAAGGTAAGGGAAGGTATAGAAATAAGATACATAGCATCCATTTATAGAAACCGCTTTTATTGCAATATCTGTAAATGTCTACATCTATGGTAACAAATACAAAGTGATCTACGATAGAAAGCATTCAAATTTGCCTGAGTGGAAAATGTGAAAGTTCACCGAACACCAGAGCCAAGTAAGAGTGATGAGCGACTTGTCCATAGCTAAACAGGAAGTTCTCCAACTAATTTATCTCCAGGAACAATCAAGATCCAACACACTTTTGGTCCAAGGTGTATGTTTAAGTTGGCAGACGTAGGGATGCAGCTGAATCTACGAACGAGTGTACTTGCCCCAGATGTGCAACATAAATACAGAAGCAATAAAAAGGAGACTCATAACCAAAACTGGAACAGGACCACTGAAAATAAAGAAAGAAGACGGTTAACATCAGCAACATGTAAATTTGCATGCATGGTCAGCTTGCTCTGAAAGTTAGGCAGAATAAGACAAATTAATTCAGTAACTGCTCCCCTCCAACTCCCTTATAGTCTAGCATTCAATTTTATACCAAAAGAAAGAGAGTGATGTGGTTTGTCATCTAGTACAAAAAGAAACACTGACATGTTATTGGAAATAGTAAAGAGGATTGTTTAATGTAATTCTTTCAGAAACACAGAAGAGAATCATTTCATTAGAACTGGTGTAAGAGTGTTAGTTTACTGAATCATTTTAAACAGTTTCTAATACAGCCCATGGTTTTGAACTACTGAAAGGACGCAGATGTTCATGTGTACTGTAACATGCTTACAGACGGTATTTAGCAACTTGCTGCGGGTCACTTTCTGAAGTCAGGATTTTAGGACTTACATGCTATTGTACTCTCTCTTGACATGTTTCTGTTCAGGAATCCTCTTCCCATTCTATTTGTTTATTTATTTATTTACATGAGCCTATTACTGAGAGTCACCTATGTACACTTAAACACTGAAGAGGGATGAGAGAGTCCCCTGGTGGCTAGTTAAACTTAGGCTTGAAATTATTTTGGTAGTAAGTCACTTTCCCAAGCTAAATCCTCTTTCTGTCAGTGAGAAAGAGAAACTAATACAGTATAAGCAAAAGGCAGTTCAATCATTTTTCATATATATTGTATTCTGTTTGGGACTGAAATAGGCACTCTAGGTATGCTCTTAAAAACTGTTTACAGTAAAAATTCAGGTAATTTTTAAATGCGTCAATCCTGTTAGGTTAGAAACCACAGAACTGACTAGCTCCCTTCATATTCAAGGCTTCTAAAAGCAGCCCTGATAATGATTATTAGAAGTCTTAAGAATTACAGCAGTTGGTGAGTCTGGGGGCTACTAATACCACAGCACTTTCAGTGGTATGTACTTAAGAAGTCTTATTTACAGCACTGCCAGTGTTGTGGTATTACAGTCCTGAAACCACCTAGCTCCCACACTGCCGAGGCTTCTAATAACAGCCTTTTGACAGTCATTTCCCCTCTGCTGTTTCTGAGACGCTTAGAGGGCATACATTCAAGTTACAAAGCAGACAGTGGAACTGAAAGATGTTATGCACTTAAGCACTTTATACACTTCACAATTAACTGGTATCTTGTAAAATGTAAAGCACAGGAGACCAAATTGGAACTGACACTTATACATGCAAGTATAATTCAATCAATTGTTTAACTGAAGTGCAGAGCATACAGCAGACTTTTTATAGTGGTTACTAATTCTAGTTTAGCATATTCAATTTGTTGCAAAAGACTCAAGTGTTCAAGAATGGAAGTTGCCATCAGCTAAACCTTAGATTCCAATATGAACTTTGTATGAGGATCTTCCAGTCTTGCTAGTTCCATATCGACTAAGTTAAAGAATATTAAATCAACACATTTTTGAAAGCATCTTCATAAAGCTGCAAATCTCAGGCTCTGATAACATGGCTGTTTTGCAGGGTACGCAGACAAAAAGAGTTCTAGCAGGTTAGCATGAGTGTTTCACTACAGAGCATCCAGTGCCTCTTATCAGTAACCTTGTGATATAATCCAGCATTTGCTACCCTCGACTACGGGAAATACTTAGCTATCTAAATATCCAAAACTTTAAACTATAACATTCAATACAAGTTTCACAAAATATGCTTAAACATGACAACCTTATCAAATCAATTTTTACTCTAAAACACAGTACAAAGTAAAAATGAAACAGATGATCAACTCATGGGTAAGCGTTTAAGATTTTTCTATGAACAGTATTCTGATTAGCAGGCCTCCTCCAACTAACCTATTAAAAACCATAATTACTCTCTATTGTCCACTTTGAGTTTTGTTGGAAAACTTTAATCCCATCCAGAAGGACAGAGACACATTTAGCAATCAAATTCTAAAAGAACAAATGCAACAGAGATATGCACATAAGCGCACACGTGCACCTATATATTAGTCTGAAAAGACAATGAGATTCCATAGACAAATATTAACCAATCCATCAGTCCCCAGGTTCCACAACCTATTTGTGAATCCCAAACGTTTTCTTTTTAAATATAAAGCAAGCTTTAAGTTTGTCCAGAAGAATTATAAATCGGAAAAATGTAACAAAGCAAAAGGGGTAGAGGGTTAGGGGAGAAAAAAAGGGAGAGGGAAAACAACTAAAATTCTCAGATCATCCTTAGCTGTCCCACCATCTAAATGAGTAACAGGCAATACACTATCCAAGCAATTGCATTTTTATTAACTACGCTCCAGTTAGGACTGTTAAGTCTCAAGCCATTTTCTTTAGCAAAGCTTATATCACTATTACCTATGATCATTACAAAAAAAACAGAATTTTGAAGTTGGCCCAGAAATGTTACTTAGTCACATTTTTAAAACAAACAGGAAACACTGCAAGATAGGTCTGTGCTTACAGACCCAGATCAATAATTTACCAAATGCCTGATATATTTGTCAAGGCCCATTTATTATGTCCAATTCAAGTTCATACTAAGGAAGATAGTGAAATGATCCAAAGCAATTCTTCTTACTGGTAAAT